CGTGCTCTGGACGGGTGGCTGTAGCTGTAGCCAGTGTCCTGCACAAGAGCAGGTCAGCTCCACACCCAGCAAGGGGCTTTGGCACAATGGGATGAATGATCGAAAGCTGGGGAGAGGAAAATCAGGTGCCAGGGCTGGATCCGGACCACCCAGCTGATTAGCAGAGTTGCAGACTTACAGCCGGCAGCCTGTGTTCAGCTGCCCCTCTGGACGGGTGGCTGTAGCTGTAGCCAGTGTCCTGCACAAGAGCAGGTCAGCTCCACACCCAGCAAGGGGCTTTGGCACAATGGGATGAATGATCGAAAGCTGGGGAGAGGAAAATCAGGTGCCAGGGCTGGATCCGGACCACCCAGCTGATTAGCAGAGTTGCAGACTTACAGCCGGCAGCCTGTGTTCAGCTGCCCCTCCTCCACCTTGCTCCGTCCTGCAACCGAGCTGCTCCCAGGTTCTCCTGCTCGCTGGGCAGAATGGGGCAGCACTGAAGGGGGAGGGGGCTGAAGTCAGGGTGCTCCCTTTCTGCAGAGCAGGGGTCGGGGAGAGGGAGACCCACAGCGGAGCTGCTCCAATCTGAAGCATGGACGGTGACTCAGAGGAGTGCCTGCCTTAAGAGACAGAGCCTGGGTCTAAGATCTCAGTGCCTCCCCTTCTCTCTCTCTCTCTCTCTCTTCCTCCCTCCCCCAATACCTCAGCTCTGCAGCGCGAGGGAGGGGGAGACAACAGAGCAGGACAGCTTTCCCTGTCTTAAAGAGACAGTGCATGATTTCTCGGAAACATACCCAGCAGCAGCTGGCACACACATGCTGTATCACTGTCACACACCCGCAGTCTGTCACACTGTCTCTGTACTTCACACAGTCTCTCTCTCTCTCACACTGACACACACCCTTCCATCTTGAAGGCCAGGACTCTAACAGGGTTCACAAAAGAGCTAGCTAGATTTCTGGAGGTTGGGTCCATCGATGGCCATTAGCCGGGCTGGGCAGGGCTGGGTCCCTGGCCTGTTTCTCTGGAGGCGGGGGATGGGAGGGATCACGTAAGGATTCCCTGTCGTGTTCCCTCCCTCTGGGGAGCCTGGCGTTGGCCACTGGGGCAGACAGGACACTGGGCTGGGTGGGCCGTTGGTCTGACCCCGAGTGGCCGCTCTTATCCCTGCCCCACACTCTCACTCTGTGTCGGAGTCTGTCTCAGTGTCTCTTTCACCCTCCTGCACTCGCTCGCTCTCTGTAGCCCCCGCCCAGCCCCTCCCGCCTGAGGCCCTGCCTCTCACACTCCCCTCTGGGAAAATCCTTGCCCGCCCCTGCTCTGCAGGGCTCTCAGCTCTGGCTCTCAACAGTCACAAGGGCAGCAAGAAGAGTCATTTACAGCAGGCAGCTGCTCCAGGGTTCAGCTCCCAGCGCCGCTGCTATGTATGAGCAGCGCTGGACACAAGTCTCTGACTCCACCCCGAGTCTGCAGGGTCTCTCGGCTTTACTGTCCCGGCTAGGCCTCCCCAGCCATCAGAGACCCTGGGGGCAGCTGCAGGTGGGGTCTGAAGCTGTGAGTGGTGTGGAGAAGGCCTGCTCCTGGATGCAAATTAGCCTTGACGTATGGGGCCAATCTGCTATGGTCAATAAGGGCTGATGGCCAGGCTGTCCAGGCCTCAGCACACGAAGCCCTTTGGACCAGGCAAGATGGCTGCCGCACTGCCTCGCCTCCCCGAGCACTTCACACCCCAGGCCAGGAGAGCCCCCCGTAAACGCAGTCCCCTCTCCACCTGAGCACCACAAAGCAGGTCTTCCAATGCTCCTTCCCCAGGTAGGATGACCCAGCCTTGTAATGCAGCACGCCCTCTTTAGCGACCGCAGGCTCAGGAGAGGTGTAAAGGGAAGGAGCTGGTCCCAATGCCTCGTCCATGGGGTCCTCCCAGTGGACGAGGCCATAGAAGCGCACGACCACTTCAGAAGCCTGTGAGAGACAGACAGACAGACGGACGGACGGACAGACAGACCAAGCAAAATGTTACCAGCAGCAGGGTCAGCAGCAGCCTGGCCTGGGAAGTCCCTACTACAGGAGTCACCCCTCCCAGACTAGCTGAAAGCCTTAAGGGCCTGGAGTCGGGCAGCAACTCAGAGAATTACTCCCGTTGGGGACCCCCGGCTAAGACACTCCTGAGACAGACCCCTCCGCACACTTCCTGTCACCAAGCTCAGACCAGGACAGCTGGGACACAGAACGACTCCGCTGCTAAACCGCAGTCCCCTCCAGGGCAGTGCAGAGCAGCCAACAGGCCACAGCAGGGACCGGTGGTGGACACTGAGCTGCCCAGCTGAAGTTGCATGCCGAGCTAGGGGCAGTGGGAAGAGGGCGCTCAGAGCAGAGTGCAGGAGCCCAGGAAGTCCCTCTCAGCTGGGACAAAGAGACATCGGTGAAGAAACCATTTCAAGACACCCCGAATTCCCACCTCACCTCGCACTTTGACTCCTGGGCCACAAACTTGGCCAGTGCCAGCTTCTCCATTGTGGCGTCGGTGAGGATGCTGGGGTACGGCGGCTCTCGGCAGCCTTTGATCATGGCTGACTTCAAAGAGACCAGGAAGAACCTGTAGAGAAGAACTTTTGTCGAGGTCCCCGTTTGGACTGAGACCCCTCACCCCGCCCTGAGTCATTCAAAGCTGGCACGTCTGGCTCAGAACGGTGGGGCGGACTCAACCTGGCCGACGGGTCCACAGGGCAGACCCATGCCCCACATGGAGCCCAACTGACACCGTGTGGGGTTCACAAGGGTCAACCTACACGGACCCCGTTATGGGAGGCTTTTGTCGAGGTCCCCGTTTGGACTGAGACCCCTCACCCCGCCCTGAGTCATTCAAAGCTGGCACGTCTGGCTCAGAACGGTGGGGCGGACTCAACCTGGCCGACGGGTCCACAGGGCAGACCCATGCCCCACATGGAGCCCAACTGACACCGTGTGGGGTTCACAAGGGTCAACCTACACGGACCCCGTTATGGGAGGGGGGCCCTGGCAGGAAAGCTGCCTGAGGTCACACGGGGCCTACAGAGTCCAAGAGTCCTTGCTGGCCCTTCCAAGTGTTAGCAAAGCGCCACCTCTGCCAGTGAACTGAAAACCTGTCCTCAGCCTGCCTGTCTGGACCCCGTCGCAGCCAGACCCAGGGTGAAGGCTAATGCCAACGCTTTCACAGCAAAGTACCTGCCACCCCCAGGAGTAATGGACAGATCATTAGAGGGGATTGAAAGCAGCAGGCCGGGCAGACAGCAGGCTGGGCACCACGGTGTCAGCCAGCAGAGGGAGCTGGTAGGAGCATTTTGCAACTTTTAACACACTCAAAGTCAGTTTGTGGGACTAAACCTCCCCTCAAATCTCAGGGCCTGTCCTGGGACTTTGAATCACCAGAAGAGAGAGCATAGGGCTGGGATGATTGAGTCGGGGGGGTCCTGCCTTGGGCAGGGGGCTGGACTCGATGGCTCCTGAGGTCTCCTCCAGCCCTGGGATTCTAGGGTTCTCTGAACATGGGAGCACTAGGAAAGTGGCCGACAGTAACTCCAGGCACATGGGAAGACCAACCCATCCGTGGGCAGCGGTCGTGCTTACTCTGTAAGGGCCACGTCGGCCGTGTCCAGCAGGAACTGCTTCCGACGGTTGGTGCAGACCAACGTGACCGTCTGCTGATCCAGGCCAACCTGCCACGGGACCACACACGCTCGCATTAGGGAGCCCGAGGAACAGGATGGGGACAAGGCTACTGGCCACGGGCCGCAGCAGGCAACACGGGCTGTGTCAGAGCCTAGGAGGCAGAGCAGCAGCTGGGATGGGACGCTGTTGGCAGGCTCAGGTGGTACCAGGGGTGGAGGAGGAAAAGGCACTTTCTCTGCATCCCTGCATCTGTAGTTGGCTGCACTGAGGCTGCAAACCTCTGGCCACAGATGATTTGCTCTTCAGAACCCTCCAACGGTTCCTGACTCCAGTGGGAACTTCCCCTCTCCGTACCTCAGTGATGCTCTCCTGTCCCAACAGGGAGCGAGGGAGGGACAGATACCAGGGACTGGAAAGCGACCCTAAGCCAACCAGGCAAAGCAAGAGGTGTGATCCTGCACATCTCTGCTCTACCCAGCGCAGTGCTGCACCCTGCCAGCTCAGCCTGGACTCACCGAGACGTAGTCTAGCTCATTGTACGAAACAGCCTCCTCCACCATGTAGGGCTTTTCAGCTGCTCCTAGCACAGAACACAGGACAGGCATATGAACAGGAGGGGAGGACAGTCCCAAAATGCAGGACAGAGATTTGCCCAGATCTCGCCCACCACCTAGGAGCAGCAGCAGCTGGCTGCAGGCCAGGGCTTCCCTCGCTGACCGAGCAGCCTTTTGTGGAGCAGCAGACAGATCTGAACTTCCAGGGACGAGAAGGACTGTCCCAGCAGACTTGCTGGTGAGATACAGTGCCTGTCACCTAAGCAGGCACATGGGGCTCTGGCTCCCCCAACAGCTGCTAAGTAGAATTACGGCTGCCCTGGAGCCAGCTGACTGTGGTACAAACCCCCAGGGCACATGGCCCGTACCACCTTCACGCTCCACCTGGATTTCTAAAGGGAACCCCCCTCCTGGAGCTAATGCCCCAGCTGCCTCCGTCAGGCCTCCTGGGAAGACCCTTTCGAGAAGCCGGGGGATGAGGTACCTTTCCGGATCAGGTAAATGTAGCAGTCCGTCAGCAGGACATAGACCAGCTGAAGATTCCCCTCCATGTGCCCGGTGCTCATTCGGATCATCTGGGAGGAGAGGAGAGGAGAGGAGAGGAGAGGTTCCTCGTGAGGAACGGCATTGCCACGCCCACAGCCCGCCCCTGCAGCCACAATTCCATCTCCACCGGGCAACGCTGCGAGTTTGGGGTCGTGTGGCCACGCGGTGGTCTCTACCCTGGCTCATGCGCAGCTTGGCTCTCTAGTCCGGACGAGAGTGACCCGTGGAATAAGCATGTTGCAAGCTGGCACCGCAGGCCTGGCAATGCCCCAGCCTGCAGCATGGCTCCGACAGGTCTCACCTACGCCCCATGTAGGGGCAGTTTAACCTGGCTACGTGCTAAGGCGATTATCACCGAGCCCTGCACCAGTGCAGCTTTCCTCATGCAGACGACCCACGTGAAGACTCCCTGTGGCTCGGGCAGCTCAGGAATGCACATGGAGAACCCACATGCCAGAGCCCCACATGCCTGTCACAGGCTGAGGAAGGAGCCAGACTTACCCTGAACAGCTGCTCCTCATTCTCCCGGAAGACGTGGATCATGAGCAGCAGTAGATGGTTGTTATCCACCCTGAGCGAGAAGGGGGAGGAAGGTTGAGAAGTAGAGGACCTCCCCCCAGAAATAGCCAAGGGCCCTGTGTGCAGCCCTGAGAAGTAGTGGTGGGTGCTATCAGGTCCCAGCATGCACTGCACCCACCTGACCTGGGCAGCCTCCACTGGGATTAGGAGGCAGCACTACAAGCCCTGGAGTGGCCTGAGCTCTGAACCTCCCACTTGCCCACGAGCTCTGCTTGTGGCTGCAGAGGCAAAGACCTTCGGGCAGGGGGTGTGGCCAGGGAGCAGACGACAGGGTAAGGCACCTACCCTGCTCCCCGCCCTCCGACTAACCTGCTCACAGGCCTTGGGGCAGGGGGTGTGGCCAGGGAGCAGACGACAGGGTAAGGCACCTACCCTGCTCCCCGCCCTCCGACTAACCTGCTCTTCCAGGATGGGAAACCTGGGACTGCCCGGGCCTCCTGGCCGCTGTCGGTTTAGGGGTTTCTCTGTTGGGCTCATCTCCAGGTCTCTCTCCCGGCCCTAGGCAGTCAATCGTGGAACCACCCAGGCAAAGCTAATGGCAAACTTCGCTGGGGGCAACTGGACCTGGCCAGAAAGCCCCAATTCTAAAAATCAGAGCCCACCCTGCCCAAAATTCAGCCCCTAAGCTCCCACCTCCCAGCTCTTTCAGACCAACTGTCTCCTGCAGCTGCTCGTCTTGCACCATATACCCCATGCTGCTTCTGGGGCTCCCCCCCAGATCCTGCTTCAGACATGCTGCCCTTCTCTACCTGAACTCTGACGGATGGGCTGGTTCCAGCGGGCTGCCCTGTCCCTCCTCCACGCCAGAGTCATCAGTGCTGCTCCGAGAGGGGCTGGGCTGGTCTCCTTTCCGCCTGCTGAGCGCATCCACGCTGCCGGCTTCTGCTTTGCTGGCCTGGGTTTTCTCTGCTTCCTCCTGCACGTGCCCTAGTGCCCCAGATGTTCCCCCCTCTCCTCCTTCCTCTTGTCCAGCAGTCGCAGGGCTACGAGGGACATGTGGCGATTCGCCAGCCCCTGCAGCGTCATGGTCGCCACCACTTGGCGCAGGAGTGTTTGGACTCTCAATGGTAAAGCGGTAGAAGTCCATGGGGGTCGAAATCCCCTCGCTAAAGCTGCCAGAGGGCGGCCCAAGGGGGGTGTCCTCTGGTGGGCCAGTCCGAAAGGACCGATCGGGGGGGTCAAGGTGGCAATTCCAGCCACTGGGGTCCAGCTGCCCGTTCAGCGTGTCGATCACTTTGCTCAGTGGCTGCCCCACACTCTCCATGGAGGTGTCCTTCATCTCTGGGATCCGCAGACCCAGCTGACTCAGGGCCGAGCGCTGGCTGATTTCTTCTGGCCTCTCCTGGCCCTCTGCAGCCTCTGGGGAGGGAGGCCTGCTGTCTCTCTTCAAGGGAGGCCTGCTGTCTGTCTTCAGCTCAGCTCCTCCGCTCAGTCTGCTGCCCCCCCTCGCCCGGCCAGCCAGCTGGAGGCCAGTCTCTGTGGCGCTGGGGGGCGGGGGATTCACGGTTTCTTCCAATTTCACCTTCTTTTTCTTGCCTGTCTTCTTCTTTTTGGCTAACCTGCAAGTGGAGAACGCTAAGCTGCTATTACCAAAGCCTGCCCGTGCCCGTGCGTGGAAACCAGGATCTCCCTGGTGAGCATTTACACCACCCCCGGGTTACTCCTCAGACTCGCAGGGAAATGCTTCTACTGATCAAGTGAGTCGGACGCCAGGCAGAGGAGGAAAGTGCAGAGGTGTATCTGCAGAGCTGAGCGGGGCAGGAAACAGGCCTTTCATCCACAGGCCATATTGCATTCGTCCGCTCTACAGGTGGGGAAACCGACTTGCCCAAGGACACAGGTGAGACTCTGGGGCAGAGGCTGAAAGAGTCCAAGTCCCCCGACCCTATTCTGAGCATGGGGCTCCCCTCCCTTTGGCCAAGCATCTGGCACGTTGCAGCCTCTCTACTTGGACTCAGAATATTCCCAGCTTCTATGCTGGGCCTCTCAAGAAAGACAGGACGGTGAGATGCTTTGGGCCCGCTGTTCTGACAAGGGAGGCTTCATTCCCCGACCATCTAAAACAGGGAGTTGGGAACGAAGAGCCACCTGCAGTTCAAAGCTGCTTCTTTCATGCCCTGTGCTGGCAGCAGGAGGTACCATGAGCTGACACAGAACAAAATGGACAAGGACTCTGAATGGTCTTAAAGCCCCTGGGCAAAGCCATGACAAACAGGGCTGGTCTCCAGTTTATGGGGCGATGTGCGTGGATGTGCAGTGCCTCTCGCTGCGGAACCCCACGACACAGATCCAGTTTCTAGATCCAGACCCCCTGATTTTCTCGGGGTGCTGTGGTGCCCCGTGACTGTGGAGGGCGAGTTCAGGGTGCTCCTGCCACTGACCTCCACAGGCTCAAAGGCAGGGTAGCTGCCAGGAAGGGCCAGACACCTCTGACTGTTCCTGTAGGTTGGGCTTTGTGGGCCAGACAGCCGTTTCTAGGCACAGACGAGTCTGAGTCAATTAGCCGATGCTGTCGGCAGGAGGAGGTTCAGAGCCGCAAAGGGAAGACTGCTGTGGCCCAGGCTCAGCGCACGGTGCTGTGCTGCAGGAGTAGCAGGGGAGCACTGCAGGAGCATGTGCCAGCCCTACACACTCCGAGGCTGGACAGTCGGCGCCCGGGCACCACCAATAAAACGTGTTTTCGGAGATTTCGTTCTGGAGCCCCGGGTCCAGCCTGGGTCTCTAGAGTGCAAAGGCCATGTTTTCAAGAGACGTCTGCACTGACACCAGTGGGGCCTGCTGGGTGCTGAGAGCTTTGGTCCCAGAGGTATAAAACAAGACCCCAGAATCTCTGCCTGAAGTAGGTTTTCTGCTCCCACACTACTCGCCCGTGGCCACGTGAGAGCACATGGCAAACGCCAGCTCCCTCCCGCAGCCGGGGGCGTGGCACCAACCTGATGACTTCCAGCTCCGTGCCGCTCTCCAGCTGCTCCAGCGGGGAGGCAGAGTGCGCAGGGGTGGTTTCGGTGGAGGACAGCACGGCCGCTGTCTCCGCGTTGAAGGGGTTGTAGCGCTGCGTGGGGCTCTTCGCAGAGGCCTTGCTGCCATTCGGACCAGAGGCCACGGAGTGCGGGCAGCTGAGAGTGTCCGTGAGGTCCCCATCTGGGAGAGAAGAGAGGGGATCCCGGTCAGCTGCGGCCACTGGAGCAGGGATTCCAAACTGCGCTCTAGACCTCAGCAGAGCAAGGCTGCACCCAGGGTGCTCAGTGCAGACGCTCGCTTGGGCGCAAAGCATCCAGCGCTCACTAGTCAGCCTGCTCATTGGGGTCAGCGTTCAGAAGCCTCCTGCAGGTCGCGAGAGGGCCCATGTGGGGCCCAGTGTCCCCCACAGAGCCAGGGATCCATCCACCTGTCCCAGCACAGAGAACAAAGGCTGAGCTGGATGGTGAGCCAGTGGTGCCTGGAGGGCGACTGTCGGCATTGCTACGCCACGGGCTAGGCAGGGACAATGTGCTCAGCTCCACCGTGCTCCTCAGGGAATGGCAGCTGCACCGGGGGAGCAGCCTGCAGAGGATGGAAGCAGAGGGCTGTGCCCCCCCCGAGCTATCAAGCGCTTCTAGCCTCAGGCTGGCTCCGTGGGGGGGGGGCCATGCACACACATACAGAGCTGTCACCCTCCCAAGCTGGGGATGTGAGACCTGAGGAGCAAGCGGATTACTGCAGGACTGTTCTCTGAGCTGCCATGCAAAACCGAGGGATGCCAGGGACCAGGGAGCCGCTGCAGATGGAGCATCGTGCTCCCCGTTTAAGGACACAGACCTTAATGGACTGCACGCACAGTGCCACGGGCCCACCTAGAACAAAAGGGCCCTTTCATCCTCCTAGGTACGGGCATTTAAAGAATGCTAGAAAGAAAATCTTCATGAATGTCACCAATTTCCTGATGAGCAAACGGGGAAAGTTCGGAAAAACCACCTGAGCGGAGGTAGCCAGTTCGTGAAGGGACAGCACCGGACAGAGCTGCCTTCTCCCTCGGGAGCTCACAGCCCTTTGCTTTGGCTAGGGCAGCTAGAGATTGCAGCGGATGCTCCTAGAACACAGAGCAGGCTGGAGGTGTGGAGAGAAACGCATCAAGTGAGAAGAAACAACATGGAGAGGCAGAAACGTCTTAGCGCAAGTTTTGCAGCCAAGAATGGGAGTGGCCAGAAGATCCAGGCAGTTCTGACTTGTGGGTTCATGCAATTCTCGCTCAAGTCAGAGAAAGGCACGTTGCCACGCCCACAGAAGCACTGCTACTGCCCACGGCCCGGTAAGAATCTATGTTCCTGGAAGCAGGAACTCCACGAAAGTATTCGAAGGAAATGAATTGTAAGTGAATTGAAACAAGAAATCCGTTCAGCAAACGGAGGTAGGAGAGAGGAGTCCTTTCGATGCAAGTTCACTGCAGTGAGGTCTCATCAGTCCTGCAAAAATGGACCCGTAGGATTGAGACTCCACCCAGGCCCCAGGCCGTCTGACTGCCATGGGCGGCTCCATGGCCCCAAGGATCATGTAGGCAGCACAGATCTCACACAGCCCACACAACCCCAACCTCTGGCTCTCAAGGCTATTTGCTCAGAGGAATGTGGCTGGAAGGGGAGGGGAATTGGATTAGAGCGGGGGGGGGGCTGGGA